TTGTAAAGGCACAGTGGGAAATTCGGAAGGGAGAAGTAATGATAAAAGGAAATGTGAAACTCCTGACCCTAACTGTTCACTCTCCTATTTATTCTTCCATTCTGTTCAGCATTGAGGATTCACAAGACAGCATCCATCTACTTCCGTAAAGGAAAAGGCTGAATTTAAGAAGCCAGGTCACAGGCACTCAAATACTTTCATCTGGAAAGACCCACCCTCCTTCAGGAACGCACTACCACTACCTTCCATGAGCCACCAAACTTGCAGCACTAAAAACACCATGTGCCTGCCAGCAGGAAGCCCTGTGACCCTCTGCTCGCACCTCCACATCTAGAACTGGCCACAGGTCGGACAGGCAGTGAAGAGTTTTTACTGGGACATAAATAGAACACACAAACACTACCTAGATCTGGAGAAAACACAGAACGAGATAAAGTTCCTGCAATAATGTATAGCTTTTACTTTTCCATATTTTGGGGTAAGTATAACTTTAATGTCTGTTAGTTTATACAGCATAACTACTAAACTCTACATACTCCGTAATTACATAGACTCCATACAAACTACATAATTCTCTTTTGATGTATATGCTGGAGTTATGTAGTACCTTCCCACCAGAGAGTTAGATTTTCTTTTTTTTTTTTTTACATTTTTCTTGGGGAAAATATGTTTTGAATAATTTTAAAAAGAACAGAGTTCAGTAATTTTATTCAAACTGTTGTGTTGGCAGAAAAGAAGAATAAATTACTTGTGGGCCCAGCATACTTTTTTGATAAGATTATAAAGCCTTTAAAAACGGAAAATGAACTGAGACTTGCATCCATTATTCATGCTTATAAACTTAAAACTATTTCTAATTTAAAATCTCTCAAAGGAAATTTAGTCCAACTTATTACTGAGTTTTATCTTATTGCTAAAGAATGATCAGAACATGAAAAGCAAGTTAGTACAGACCAAGTAGATAAAAGAGATAATTCTATCAGTCCAAAGAGAGATAATAAGAAATTTTCTTCCCACAGTGTAAAACAACGTACAGAATTTCCCATCATAGTGTATGACTTTCCCGATCCAGTTTGCCCATATGCAAAGACACAAGCATTATAACCTTCAAATGCAGACTTCACGACATCTGTGCCAAGGGTGTTGAAAACCTGAAAGCAGGAAAAACAAACACAAAAGACACAATTACCATAGATTTTAATAAGAACCCCTTTAATGTCGACAAATATTCTTGAATGCTACTTTCGTCTTGCAAGTATTACACCACATAAATAAAATCTTCGCACAACTATTAACAACAGAGTATGTATGTACCTCAGTTTTTAATCAAAAGGAAACTTTTTAAGGAAGAAAAGAGCAACCCCATCCTTTTTCCTACTTAACAAAAAATTCCTGAATGTAAACAAGGCAAAATGACAGTCATGTCTAAGAAGCAAAGATGCTTTTAAAGCATGATGATTTACCATTTCAGAATTAAATAAACTTACAAAGTTGTGCATTCTATCAGAGCTTCCAGAAGCTAAATATTCAAAACCTAAAAATCACTGCAGCCAGAAGTTATTGCCCAAAGCATGCCAAATCAATACTGTCATTTGAAGAGTCCGGCTATTCATCAAAATAAGTCTCAGAAGGTTGAGTGATGGCTGGGTGTGAATGAGGCTGGGAAGGCCGGGCTCCCCTGAGTTAGAGTCCAGATGCTTTCTCCTATTTGAATATTGGCCTCAGATGGAGAAGGCAGGGACAGGAGCTGTGTGGGGTCTGGGGTTGTGCCTACACTGGCCTGAGACTGTGTCTGATGTACCACTCAGCTGCAGTGGGACACTCTGGGAAATGAAACAGGATGAAGGACAAATACTTCGCCCAGACAACTGATGTCAGTGAGGCCAATCGACATGTGTGGCCATCCTGAGTACACCCAATTGGGAAGGGGACCAACCAAAGCTGCCCAAACCCCACAAGCCTTCACGTTGCCCCTTTCCTCTGTCAGAGAGGAAGCATGATCGGGTTCTTAGAGCCAGGAAAAGTGAGGCACTGTTTTGTGGCGTCACCACAGTCCAAGGTGGGAGCCTCATTAACCCCTCAGGAATGTTTAGTCTGTGTGAGTGATGCTGAATCAGCTGAACTTGAGACCCATCATCTCCCCTTCAGGGTTCTAAGCCCTGCAGCCAGAACACCCATCCTTAGACAAGGCTGATAAACACTAGGCCCCTCAACCTCAGCTCCACATAAACTATCCCTGCTACTAACACAGCTTATCATCCAAGGACAAAATATAAACAGTCAACCGGACTTCAGCTTTCTTCAGGTACCATCCTGCCGCCATCTTGCTTTTTTTCCTCAGTTTCTCGGTCAAAGATTTCCAAACTATCATTTCAATTGAGTCACTTCCAAAATGACCAGTCTCATTCATACTGTTAATTTGTATCCATTTCAGCTCTAAGAGTGGATATTTTCTAGTCCTATTCTCAAATTCTGATGACTTATTCAACTCTCAATGGTAATAGCAGGTCACAAGGAGTTCGCATATTGGTCCTCATAAAATTCTACAGGGTGATTAAGCATCACTTAGATCCATTTCTCAGGGGGAGAAGTGAGATGAGTGAACATACACAGTGAGTGGCAGAGATGGGATTTGCACCTGGGTATTTCTGACCCCAAAGCCTGTGCTAAACCCTTCAGTGTCCTCTTCCCACACCCTCAACATCAAGCATGAGGCCCCAGTCCTCCCTGAAAGGACCTCCTCCCACAAACCATGAAAAGGCAGAAGCCAGGAATCCCAGGGAGGCTCAGGGCTCCAGACAACCTATCTAAAATCAGTTTTCACCACGGTATATGGAACATGAGGAAAAACTCTAAATATTTCTTCAATTCTCTTTGATTAAGCAAAAAATAAAAATCATACATCATTTTTACCCTATCATGGGGTGCCACTGGATAGGAAGTACAGCCTTCCATAAAGTTCTCAAAGAATAAAAAAAGGATCTTCTGTAATACCTTTGTCTGAGGCTGAAACAAACTCATTGAAAATATATTTAAACCAAACCCCAACGTTTTCAAAATAAAATTCTTTCCCAGGATTAAAAATCCCACCCACCAGGCTGCCTATATGGTTCAGTCGGTTAAGTGTCAGATTTTGGCTACGTCATGATCTCACATTTGGTGAGTTCAAACCTCGCACAGGGCTCTCTGAGGTCAGCATGGGGCCTGCTTTGGATCTTCTGTCTCCCTCCCTCTCTGCCCCTCCCCTGCTCACACTCTCCTGCACTCTCTCTGTCTCAGAAATAAACATTAAAAAAAAATGTTTATAAAAAAATCCCACACACCATTTTACTGTTACCTATTTCTCCAGAAAGCCAACTCAGCTGGATTTCTCCAACAGATCTGGGGGCCTGGGACAGGAGGAGGAGGGTCCTGGTGCTGGTGAACATGACTGCAAAACAGGCCTAGAATACGCAGGTCTGGATGCACCGAGACCCAGGCCGGGCTCAGTCTCAGCTTCAAGTAACCCACCCAAAGTTGTCCCAGGACCCAGAGAAGCAGCGGGACACTGTCCACATCTTTGGGGTTCTTGGCAAGGAAAACAGGCTACCCCAGTGCAGCTGCCAGGAAGGACCTGTTTAGCATCAATATCAAACCAAAGTGGAGAGGGAGTGGCTGCATTGTGAGACGAGCTCTCCCCTCCTCGACTGGCACTGGCGACTGGCATCAAAATCCGGCTGAGATCCTCACCTGGCCAGGTGACCCAAATAGCTGTATATCTGAGCACAGATTTTCAAATGGATTTCCAGAGCGATCCAAGGCATCCCAGGGCCTCAACTGAGGGGAACTGCCCACAAGAGGGCACTGTTAAAACAAAAGACTCACCCATTCAGCTTGTCAACTGGGAGATTTTAGGTTTCAAGTTTCTCCAAGGTTGAATCAAAGAGATCAAAGCCTCCCTTTGGAGTTTTGAAGAACCATTAAGAAAATCAGACCTTATTTAATGGTCTTTAATTTATGTGAATACAGACTTAAATTGTCCAATGATTTTTTTTTTTTCCAAATCTAAAATTAACTTGTAAGGAAGAAATATTACTGGTCATCTTACTTGCTATTTAACAGTAAGGGAAACTTAGGTTGAACTCTAGTAATAGGCATGATATATTTCCTCAAGATGCCCCTCTATCCAGATGAGAAGGATAAAAAGGAGGAGGAAGAGAAGACCAACATCATGCTAAGCTTGCATCTTCCCGTTTATGCAGGGGTACAACCTGACAGCTCAAATCCTGGGCCAGAGATGACAGCATGAAAACTTTAATCAGTAATCAAAATTGAAGCTATTTTTAACATTAGGGGTGAGGGAAGATTACCCTTCTCTTTAATAGAGTTTCAAAAAAATAGGTATTTTCCTGTATCTATGCTGACTTTATTAACATGTGCTTCTGCTAGAAAGTAGTACTGTATTTACTAATACATCACCACGCTTTTTTAGTTTTGTAATTTAGTAGAACAATCTCAGGTTATTTATATAGTCGAAAAACGCAAAACACCTGAGAAGAGACGCTACCCATCACTCGAAGCATGGAAATTATCCCTATCAGAAGCTTTGCACAAACTAAAACTATTCTTAAACTCTGAGCATTTATTTTTAACTTTCAAAAGAGCTAAACTTGTTACTCTTTCCCTGATCTTGACTCTTGTAGAACCAGGAAATGTCATCTGTTCCCATAAATTAACCACCATCTGTAAACGACTTCTGTCAGTCAGCAAATGTTTACCGAGCATCTCCAGCGTGCCAGGTCCTGCTGTCACACACTGCTCTGCTCCTCCCCCCATGGACTTTCCCTCACCACAGCCCTCTGTCCCCAAAAGGCCTCAAATTCAGGTTAAATAAGGAGGAAAATCCAACCGTTTGCTGTGTAAGTTAGACATGGAAACCTTCCTGGCTCTTCATCCATCATCTCTTGAGGACATTCTGAAGACTGTGGAATGAATTGGCTTTTCCCTGAACAAATTCCCTCACACCAGCCACTTCATTTTTATTCCTGTATTAAAGCCCAAATCTGGATTCCAATATCTATAACATTCTATTCCTCACCAGCTGCCAATCTATTTATTCCTAGCTGCCAATGTTGACCAATCCAGTTACCTCAACAGCAAAGTTGCTGTGAAACAGAAAACCACAGGCCCAAAATGGAGTCACTTATGCTAGGCCAAGTCACCAAACTGGGGTTCAATACCTAACCTAACTGCAGTTTCAACCTCCCCCAGATATGCAGTCTCAACTGGTCGGTCAGGAATTTTCTGATCAGCACCAATGAGGTCATCTCCCACATGGGCCCTCTCCATCCCCCAGAGGAAGATGAGGTGATCCACCTAAACAACACCCTCTACTCTTCTGCCTAAGGGAAGATGACCTTGCCTGAAACAATCTTTTCTTGTGCTACTTCTCCCACCCTGTTTCTGCCTATGAAATCCTTCCATCTTGTACAGCTCTTCAAAGTTCCTTTCTACTTGCTGAATGGGATGCTGCAGGATTCATGAATCGATGAATAAAGCCAATTTGATTTTCAAATTTACTCGGTTGAATTTTGTTCTTTAACACTCCTCACTCATTTATTCATCAATAAGGCTGCCCTATTCATCCATCATTTAGAACAAACCAACCTTATGCCCTGAAGACCCTCCAGTGGCATCTCCCCTGCCCTACACATCAGCCCCAGGATCTCATCTCGGCTACTATTAAGTCCATTAGGTGTATGGACTTGAGCACATTATTTAAGCTCAGAGTCTCTTCGACAAAGAAAAACGGAGCTAAAGTGAAACCTGGCCTTCTGAGAATGAAGTGAGACAAGTACATGAGTGCCAAGCAGAGTTTCAGACACCAACACAAACTCAAGCAACATTAGTTCCTGGCCCCTCTTTCATCCCAGGCAGCTAATCGTTCTTTATGGCTCTCAATCTTATTGCTGTCATCCTTTCAATTTTTGCCCTGATGCTGAACCCACACATTCTGGATACAAACACTCCAATCTTCTCCTTTGAATAATTTCTCTAAGTTGTCTATCTTAACTCCAACATTTACATTGCCTCTATAAGCCGACTTCTTCCACAAACCATGTGCTTAACCAATGCTAAGTTCTCCAATGTCGAGGTGTGCAAATCTGCTAAAAAATGCAGTTTGGCTCAGTGGGGTCTGGAATTGGTACAGATTTTGCATTTTTAACATGCTCTAGTCAATGCAGTGGTTCTGGAACATGGACACACGAAGTTGCCAGCAACTAGACAATAATACCACTTTAAGATGCCACCGCATGGATTATAACCCAGGGTAGGCAAGACGGGAATTCTTATCTTAGTTGTAACACATGCAGTCCTAAAGCAATATATCTGAAGAAACTGTTAAGAAGCCAGGAAGAAGCCCATATTCCTCCCCTTGTACCGATGCTTCCCCATAGCTCTACTCTGTTTAAACACCCAACTGGTCCCACCCAGGGAAATCCCCTTAGTCTGCTCACATGCAGCATCAATATGCAATGGTCTCCTGGGAGGATCTCCGAATCTGTTCTTCTATGCCATGTCACATCCACATTTTAGACCATAAAACCCTATAGCACCGGTTTCTTGGACAAATTACAGCTACATTCTAGATTCTAGAAAAATTCTGAACAAAATGCCCATTCCTTCTAGAACCCTTCTTTTGAGAATCCTAAAACGGTCCACAGGAAGTGGGGCTTTGGTCTGAAATCTAACTTCCAGAGCCCTGCATCACAGCAGGACTCAGAGCTGAGCGGCTTATTTGCTGGGCTTAGCAATATACAAACGGCGCTCCCCAAATGCTTTATTTGCACAGCTCCTTCAAAACGGTAGTCCTTTCCAAGTTTGGGGGTGGGAGGGTGGGGGGAAGTTATGATCATCATGCTTAGAAGTGAAAAACAAAATCAACTTTTTGGGGACTGAATTCTTCTCAGGCTTAATGGTGCTATGTAACAAAGCTAAATTAGCAGAGGTAGATTTTACATAAATTATATTGAGAAAAAATCAGCAAGATGTTTTATAGAGTTTTAGGATGGGCATTTTTTTCCTCAATATGGAAATAAATCAAAATAAAGATTATGAAAATATCATACCATCTCTTGTGAGACATAATCTGGACTTTTCGTATCAGCAGAATAAAAAGAGAAGTCATAGGTGAAGGTCTTCGTCCGTTCTCTTCCTGAGTCCCCAGTCCCTCCTTCTGGTATCTAGACAGGATTGTGATAATAATGTAAAGAGCACTGCTAGCTAAATGATCTATCCAATTCAAGAAAAAGAAAAATCCATTAAAAATGTATAATGATCACTTGACTAAAAAAGCATTTAATTCCTCCTGAACACCCTCCTAAATACATAGGGAGAGAGAGAGGGTAGGAGGGGGTAAGGTTGGAAGGAAGGGAGGGGAGGGGAAGGATGAGGTGGGGGGGGAGGGAGAGAGGGAGAGGGAGAGGGGGAGAGGGAGAGAGAGAGAGAGAGAGAGAGAGAGAGAGAGAGAGAGAGAGAGAGATCCCAAATTCCTCCCAGCAATCCAGGCTATGATATGACCCAAGGCGTCTTTTCTGGACTTTTATTATGATTATCTTATATGAAGCCAACACTCTGGCCAGACTCTTATTTCTTTCCTGGCTTCAATTCTTTTTACTGTTCCCTCCAACCAAAACCAACAGAGTCAGGGTCTACAGAACTCCAAGGGGTGCCATTCACATAGATGGTGATGTGACTAGAGCCCCCTAGAGTTGTGCAGCTTTGTGGCCCCACTGTAAACTCCAGGTGGGATGCTTCCTCTCCCATGAAGCTTCCCTTGGGCACTACAACCAGAAGTAATTGCTCCCACCTCCGAGAGGCTAGATTCTCCCAGGACATATTCTGAGTTTACTGCAGATATTTGCATGTATCTTGTCTACCTTGCTATATACCTAAATTGAGCCAAAAACCATGTTTAAAAATCATCATAAGCCACCAATGCTTTACACAGTTCCCTGGACACATGCTGAAAAAATTTAATGAGCATCATATTTTCTAATATAATTCAGACTCTATAAATACACAATTTCTATGGTTCTTATTAAAATGTTAAAAATCTGGACATCTGTTTTTGTTAAATTGGACAAGGAAATGTTTGTAAAACTCAAAAGGCACCAGAACAATCAAGGAAAATAGATTCCATAATGCACAAAGAAGAGAAGCATCCAAAGCCAAGGGTCTCTTAGCTCTGTTCCAGTAAATATAATTTTTTAAAGATTAAACTTGTACCAAAGCATGGTGAGCAGACAGATACATGAAGCAAAGCAAAGCAAAGGTAACTAACAGGAGGTGATGGTCAAGTGATGACAGGCAGAAATACAAGTAGATGTGGGAGGTCAAAGGAGGGCAAGCCAGGTGGGGCCAGACAGAGCTAGAAGGTATCAGGATTGTGCTCAGAGGAGAAAGAAAGACATTCCACTGGAGAATGCCTGGGGCAAAGGGACACGGAGCCTCAAAGAAAGCCTATCAAATTATCTAGAGCATGGCCCAATTGGAAGAGAGGAGCATTCCCCAGCTTCTATCACTGGAGATCAAGTAGACTACTTTGAGATTCCAAAGTATCTAGTCCCTTGAGCCACAAATTAACAGAAATCCAACTAGAGATTGATCTGCACTTGGCCATGGAGCAGCAGGCCTCCGAAACCCCAACCTGTGAGTTAATGACAAATTTGGGAGGACAAAGGGGCAGAGTCCACCAAGCATATGATTTACTATTATTAATTTTACACTCATATCTCCCTCCAAGTGAAAAGTATTCACAATTCTTAACAAATTCACTGACCAAAGGAAAGAATAGGATATTTTAAGTGCAAAAGGAAGAAATATGCCATGCTAGAAAATTCTGGGTTTTTCCAACTTTTTCAAAACTCTTTTTTTTTTTAATGTTTGTTTATTTTTGAGAGACAGAGACAGAGTGTGAGCAGGGGTGGGGCAGAGAGAGGGAGACACAGAGTCCAAAGCAGGCTCTAGGCTCTGAGCCCTCAGCACAGAGCCCAATGCGGGGCTCAAACCCAGGCACCGTGAGATCATGACCTGAGCCGAAGTCGGGACGCTTAACCAACTGAGCCACCCAGATGCGCCTGGACTGTCCTTTCCAGAAAAAAAACAAAACAAAAAATCCATTTTTTTAAATCTTTCGTTCCCTGAGTTTTTAATAATAATGTAAGTTCCCCTTGCCAAGTTTAAAAACATGATTATTTTCATTAAGAATTGAAAGAGGGGCACCTGGATGGATCAGTTGGTCATATCCAACTCTTGGTTTTGGTTCAGGTCATGATCTCATGGTTTGTGAGTTCGAGCCCCATGGCAGGCTCCACGCTGACAGTGCAGAGCCTGCTTGAGATTGTCTCTCTCTCCCTCTCTCTCTGCACCTCCCCTGCTCGTGTTCTCTCTCTCAAAATAAATAAATAAATTAAAAAAAAAAAAAAAGAATGGAAACAAATCTAGAGCCAACAGTTACTTAATGATTCACAAAATGCAGCTAGACGCCAGGCTAAGAATCTAGCACAGGATACAGGATAACATTGTGTAGTCGGGGCTAAATCTGTGAGTTTGCACACCAAGGCTACAGCTTGAAGGTTCTGAGACCAAATAAAACTAGGGGGCGGGAGAAGAGATAAAACATAGCCGTTCACTTCATGACTGAGCCCTAGACAAGTACAAGTTGACGTGGCTAGCTGAACTGAGAAGGAGGGGTAAGGAAATGGCAGATGTGTTTTATTTACCCAGAAATCATTTTGACAATAAAACAAACATGGAGGCTCATGGAGCGTGGCCAGGTTGCTACTTGCCTTTAAGTTTGTGATTGTTGTTTTGCTTTTCTCCATTTGAATAATGAATTTGGCTTCCAAGTCCTTTTCCCTGCAACACAAATTCATACTAGTTAGGAGAGAAAAGATTGTTTTTAAAACATTTGTTTTATTTACTTTTTACATATGGGGGTTTGTTTTTAAATGGCATCTGAAGCACAATCTGTGACACCACTCCTCCCAAATCTTTACTAATACAAACACAAAGACACACAAAACAGATGCCACCATCAAAAAACTTAAGACTGACAAATAATGTGTTCTCAAAACCTGGAAGAATCTCTAACTGCCAGCCAAGAGGAGTGTAAATTAAATGACAGAAACCGTGGAGGGCTGTGTGACTCATGAAAAAAGCAGCCCCACCTACCTGGTTATAAAAGACACCTTCTCCCCTCCACCCAAGAGGAGAACCAAGTAGAAAACTGGTATGAATGGTCGCAAACAGGCGCTGCTTCTAGAAGCAGCCAGGGCACTGCCACCTCCTCCCACCTTCTTTCCATATACATTCAGAAACTGCAGTGCCTGGAAAACAGCAGAACTGGAAGTCCACAGGACTCCTGAGAACAGTTCTGGAGAATAAATAACCATGTATCTATACAATGGAGTGGTCGGTTACTGAAAAAGGAATGAGGAAGGTCTCTATCAACTGTTAGGGAATGGGAGCCAGGATGTATTGTTAAGAGGGGAATGCAAAGTGGAGAAAAGTATACCTAGGATGCTAGAATTATAAGAAAATAAAACAAGATTACTTTTTAATGACCTAAAACAGATCAGTGTGTTAGTGCAGTTGAAGGGCAGGTCATGTGTTCCATGTTAAAAAACAAAATTAAATTAAAATAAAAATAAAAGGGGTGCCTGGGTGGCTCAGTCAGTTGAACATCTGACTCTTGATTTCAGCTCAGGTCATGATCTCATGGGATTGAGCCCTGCATCAGGCTCTGAGCTGACAGGATAGAGCCTGCTTGGGATTCTCTCTCTCCTTCTTTCTCTACCCCTTCCACATGTGCATGTGCGCGCGCTCTCTCTCTCTCTCTCTCTCAAAATAAAAAATAAAAATAAAGTGACCTAAAACATAAAAGTAAGCTGAAGCAAGTGAACTGGCATACCACAGTGTGACATTTAATTAATAATTTATTATTTTAATCAATAATTTTAATTAATTTTAATTAATAATTGTTTTAATTAATAATTTAATTAATAATTTATTATTTTTTAATTTACATCCAAGTTAGTTAGGATATGGTGCAACAATGATTTCAGGAGTAGATTCCTTAATGCCCCTTACCCATTTAGCCATCCCCCCTCCCACAACCCCTCCAGCAACCCTCTGTTTGTTCTTTATATTTAGGAGTCTCTTATGTTTTGTCCCCCTCGTGTTTTTATATTATTTTTGCTTCCCTTCCCTTACGTTCATCTGTTTTGTATCTTAAAGTCCTCATATGAGTGAAATGATATGATGTTTGTCTTTCTCTGACTAATTTCACTTAGCATAATACCCTGTAGTTCCATCCACATAGTTGCAAATGGCAAGATTTCATTCTTTTTGATTGCTGAGTAATACTCCATTGCATATATGTGCCACATCTTCTTTATCCATTCATCCATTGATGGACATTTGGGCTCTTTCCATACTTTGGCTATTGTTGACAGTGCTGCTATAAACATTGGGTACATGTGCCCCTTCGAAACAGCATACCTGTATCCCTTGGATAAATACCCAGTAGTGCAATTGCTGGGTTGTAGGGTAGTTCTATTTTTAATTTTTTGAGGAACCTCCATACAGTTTTCCAGAGTGGCTGCACCAGTTTGCATTCCCACCAATAATGCAAAAGGGTGCCCCTTTCTCTGTATCCTTGCTAACATCTGTTGTTGCCTGAGTAGTTAATGTTAGCCATTCTGACAGGTGTGAGGTGGTATCTCATGGTGGTTTTGATTTGTGTTTCCCTGATGATGAGAGATGTTGAGCATTTTTCATGTATCGGTTGGTCATCTGGATGTCTTCTTTGGAGAAGTGTCTATTCATGTCTTTTGCCCATTTCTTCACTGGATTATTTGTTTTTGGGGTGTTAAGTTTGATAAATTCTCTATTGATTTTGGATACTAACCCTTTATCTGGTATGTCGTTTGCAGATATCTTCTCCCATTCCGTCAGTTGCCTTTTAGTTTTGCTGATTGTTTCCTTCCCTGTGCAAAAGCTTTGTATTTTGATGAGGTCCCAATAGTTCATTTTTGCTTTGACTTCCCTTGCCTCCAGAGACATGCTGAGTAAGAAGTTGGTGCAGCCGAAGTCAAAGAGGTTTTGCCTTTTTTTTTTTTTTTTTAAGTTTATTTATTTTTCAGAGAGAACACAAGAAGGGGAGGGACAGTGAGAGAGGGGGAGAGAATCCCAAGCAGGCTCTGCACTGTCAGCACTGAGCCCAATGTGGGGCCCAAACTCACTAGCCTCAAGATCATGACCTGAGCCAAAACCAAGAGTGAGACACTTAACTGACTGAACCACCCAGGTGCCATGCACAGTGTGAGATGATTTCCATTATATGTTAGAATCTGACTGTAGAATGCAGTGGGATATAGCCCGGAGAGAAAAACAACTATAAAGAAGTCTTAAAGCATTTTCAGTAATCATATATTTGATGGTAAAGTAAGTGTCGGCATTTGGAGACTTCTGTTTGTGTATTATGGGATGATACTGGAGTAATTATGGCTGTGGCCTTGAGAACCAAGGTTTCTAGATGAAAAGAGATACAAACATAAGATGGATGAGGTTAAGTAAAAAAAAACTCTCTCGTCCTGAATCTGAATGGGGCTAGCATAAACTTTATCTGAAATTGAGAAAGAAAAAGAAAGTACTCCCTAGCTTTGTCCTCTGAAAAGGCCTAGAATCTTATGCCCAAATTATAGTCTCTAAATTCCATTTAGTGTCAGGGTTCTTTGGAGAAAGACTCGATCCAAATATTTGAACTATCTTCTCACACAAGAAAGCAGGATGCTGTCACATCAAAAGTTACTGGTTTGTCCAGGTTGTCCATAAGCAACGTCTAACATGGTTCCTGGTGATCCCTGCCTCCGGGTATCTGTGACCCTGTGCGATCCCCTCCCCAGCAAATGGGCTGGACCTAGAAACTCACTTCTAATAACTAGAACACTACCACCCCAAAAGTGATGATCTGTCACTTCCTAGTTTGGGTTATAAAATGATTCTGATTTCTGACTTGCTGGCTCTCCTGAGGGTGTCTCTCTCAGAGCCCTGGCAATGGGGACAGCCAGCTGCCACACTGCGAGACTTTGGGAGAGACTCACATGGCAAGGAATTGCGGCCTGCCAGCAGCCACCTGGGTGAGCCTGGAAGTGTCCCTCCCCCAGCCAGGCTGGAAGGCCCTGGACTGCAGCCTTGAGACCCTGAGCCATCAGAGGACCCAGGTAAACCCCACCCAGACTCCTGACTCACAGAAACAGTGAGATAATAAATGTTGTTTTAAGCCCCTAAATTTGGGGGCTTAGGAGTTTGGAGCTCCTAAGTTGTGTTACACAGTGAGAAATAACCAAGACAAGAGCCGCAGCAAAAGGACTCAGTCAACCTGATAAGTGGCCGCCGACAAAGCACAGCGGCAGAAAGAACAGTAACTGCAGTAGACTGAAACGCGTGAGATATGCATAAATTATGAGCTCATAATTAAAAGATAAAAACCAAATGTCCCCTTTGGAGAATCAAAAGAATCACCTCATTATTTTAAAAACTAGTAAATAAAGGGGAAGATTCAAGCACTTACCCTGCATTTCCTTTTTTTTTAGTTTTTTTTTTTTTTTTTT